AAGAGTGCCTTTTCTAAAATTATGAATTTTATGGCCCCAGTGTCAGGGGTTCTGGTGTTAGGACAGGGCTATATTGATATATATAGTGAAAATGCGTTATTCTTTGAAAATATTCTATGCTTCTGGGTATCAAATAAACTAACTAAGTACATAGTTATGATAAGCAAGAGTGCCTCTTTCAAAACTGTGAATTTTATGGCCCAAGGGTTAGGGGCTCTGGTGTTAGGGCGGGGCTCTATTGATTATATAGTAAAAATACATTAATTCTTTGAAAACATTTTCCTTTGCTTCAGGGTTTTATGCCAATGATCCAAGTATAGATATCAATGATGAAAGGTGCATCTAGCAAAGTGGTTTTTTATGCCCCTGCCAATGATCCAAGTATAGATATCAATGATGAAAGGTGCATCTAGCAAAGTGGTTTTTTATGCCCCCTGGGTCGGGGGGGGGGGGGGGGGGGTACATGGTCTGAAAATAAATTAATGCTTTGAAATCTGCTCTTTTTATGTATTAATCAACCATATTAAGATAAAATTTGCAAAATTTTGAAATATGTGGCCCCTGGGTCAATGGTTCCTTTTGGATGAGGTGCACAACTGGGTATAAAGTGGAAGTGCATTTTGTCTTTGTAACTCTTATCTACTCTGGGTATTAAGTAAATACAGTAAGCATGTTAAGTTAATAATTATGATAAGCAATGGTGCCTCTTTCAAAATTGTAAATTGTGAATTTCATGGCCTCTGGTTTAAAACACGAACCAAATTTAATTGTTCGAAAGTTGTTACACAATACTCAGGTGACCTATCAGGCCCTTGGGCCTCTTGTCTGTTTCCCCCTCATTTTCTGTTCAATGTTATACTCTAATGGTAATCTAACAACCAAGCTTTATCATAAACGTGATGACTTTTATCAACCTTTTTATCGTCAACTTCCCATACTCATGCAGCAATATACCTTCATCACCTGCTTATGGAATTTACATATCTCAGTTGATTAAATACTCAAGATCAATTTCTACAAAGAGGTAAATTATTAACAGACAAGTGGATGAAATAAGATTTCGTAGGTTCTATGGTCGATACGATGACCTTGTCAGCAAATACAATTTATTATTGAGTCAAACGCTGACTGACGTTTTGCATTCCAATAAATTTTTTAGTCCATTATTTATACATTGAATCGAAGACGTTATTTCCTAATCATGACAAGGAGCACAGGGCGGGTGTGACCGGTCGGCAGGGGATGCTCACTCCTCCATGGCACCTGATCCCACCTCTGAGGTTTTGGAAGTCTGTGTTTGCTCTGCTCCTATTTTGTATTGTTTATGGACTTTTGATCTTGAATACTGTTCGTTATCTCTTTATGTTTCACTGTAACGCTTTTAAAAATTAGCTTATAATACCTTACTTTAAACCTGATCTCAAATAGGGATAACTAATATAGGCCACTGTTACCCGCTGTTTAATTTATATATGCGCGCATGGCCGTTGTATTCTTCTTTGCATATCATGAATAAAATCCTTCTTATTAAACCAGAATTTATAAAAGTTTTTCCAATTATGACGAAAAGGAACGTTTTCTTAATTAGTTCCTAACATTCTTCCATAATTCATGTATATAAAAAAAATTAACAAAAATATAAAAGTGTTTGCAAAAGGTTCATGCAACGGTTAGACAACTGTGAGACATAAAAGCCATAGACTGGTGATAAGACTATGTTGCTAAGTAAGGCAAGATGATAATAGAAATGTAATGTTAATTATCTAATCATTTCGTTGTAAGATTACCATGAGCATTTCTTCTAGTATAATATTCAAAATAAAAAATGGATTAGATTCTTTTGTGTCATTAATTTCAAATTCACCGGCCAGGTATACAGTACAGGAAGTCAACATGTGAATGAACTATTTTTAATTGATAAGTCGTCGATATATTTTAAAAAGCCATGCATATGCTTAAATGACCCAACAAACTTGACTGCGATATATGAATGGCGACAGGTGCGGATTCAAGAAGTTTTTCCCAGGGATGAGGGGTCACACCAAAAATATTTGTCAATTCATGTTTTCTCAAATGAAATGTGAGAGAGGACACTTTCATAAGTCTATACTCTGTGGAGGAAACACCTTGAAAGGGGTATAATCAGATGTATATTTGGCCTATGCATCCTCTTAAGAAGTTTTTCTTCGTTTTTATAACTTTAAATGATGTATCTTCTAACTCACTTCACGATATCACCGATATTGGGTTTTTTTTTCAAACCTTTCCCAGGATTCAGACAAAAAAAGAACAGAATTTATATTATTTATGCAGTTTTCATTTCCATTCAATAGAATGGTCCAGGTAAAGGACGCAAAAACCTACAAGTGACAAATGGACTAATCCAGTAGTATAGAAACGCAGAAAAAAGGTCAAACGGACATGTCCGTATAAGAACTGGCATGAAATTAATAGCTGCTAGCAAAAAGTTAAAGGAAATAAATACATCAATGTATCGTATCATCAATATGGTTATTTTTCTGCTTACTGTTGTTGCTGAAATGCATGTAACAAAATCTGATGATAATCAGCATGCACAAAATTTTGCTGGCTAACTGTGACCTCTTAGCTTCGAACCTAGAAATTATTGATCCTTAGTAGTGCCTGACGCCGTGACGTCAGGCAATTACTCAATTTATACTCAATTTAAGTATTCATAACATTTTAAAAGGCCAAGATAAATTATCTGAACGTGTTATTTACGTATATTTTCTCTATTGAAATAATTAAACAGTGATCTCTATTCACCAATACTGTGTTGTCTTAGAACATTTTCCCGGTGGTAAACCATACATTGAAAATTAATTAAATAAGCTCAATTTTAACTCCTTTATCCAATATATTTTCTCAATGTCCAAAAAAATTGCACTTGTGTAGAGAGGGTTTTTTAAGAAACTTTTTCCACACATTTAAGAAAATTAAGAAAGCACAGTTTAACAAGAGGCCCATGGGCCTTATAGGCCACCTGAGTATCATGCAACAATTTTCAAACAATTGAATTTGATTCATGTTTTAATTCAGAGGCCATGAAATTTACAATTTTGAAAGAGGCACCATTGCTTTAATTTCATTAATATACATTCAGCATGCTTTCTTTGTTTACTTAATACCAAGAGGTAGATCAGAGTAACAAAAAAATGCATTTCCACTTTATCAGTTGTGCACCCCATCCCAAAGGAACAACTAACCCTGTGGCACATCTTTCAAAATTTTTGGAAATTTTATTTCATCATGTTGTTGATTAATACCAAAGTGCAGATTTCACAGCATTAAATTATTTTCAGACTTTGTACCCCCCCCCCCCCCAAGTTCCTCTGTCCCAGGGGCCAGGAAATTAACCATTTTTGGAAGAAGCAGGTTTCTACGTAATAAAATATATACTAAGATCATTGGCATAATACCTATAGGAACAAAGGAAAAGATTTCCAAAGAATCCCTGCATTTACACTATATAAATATTAAAGCCCCACCCTAACACAATTAAGAACCTCTGAAATTCACAAATCTCAAAGAGGCATCCTTCTTTCTCATAACTATGTACATAGTTTATTGGTTTAATACACAGGTGCAGAATAGAAGATTTTTAAAGAATTTATGCATTTTCACTATATAATCAATAGAGCCCACCCTAACACCTTAACCCCAACCCAGAGGTTATGAAATTCCCAATTTTCGAAGAGGCAGCCTAATTCAACATAACTATGTACTTCTTTAGTTTATTTAATACTCATGCGCAGAGAAGAAGATTTTCATAGAAATAATTCATTTTTTACTATATAATTTTATAGCCCCACCTTAGCACTAGAACTCCCGACTGTGGTGCCATGAAATTCATAATTTTGGAAGAGGCAGCCTTATTCAATATAGCTATTCAATTGGTTAGTTTATTCAACGACCATGAACATAGAAGAAGAATTTCAAAGAACTTATGCATTTTCACTATATAAATTATCTATAAAGCCTCGCCCTGCCACTAGAACCCCTGACCCTTGGGCCTTTAGATTCACGATTTTAGAAGAGGCAGCCTTATTCAACATAACTATATATGCATTTGGTAAGTTTATTTAATGCCCACAAACAGAAAAGAAGAATTTCTAAGAATTTATGCATTTTCACTATATAATCTATATAGCCCCGCCCTAGCACTAGAACCCCTGACCCTGGGGCCATGAATTTCACAATTTTTATAGAGAACTCAATGCTGATTACAATCATATCAACAGTTTAACTGCTTTATGTCCAGGAGTAAAGAAGATTTTTAAAGATTGCACTAATTTTAGTGGTTTTTGCCCCACCCCCCAGGCCCCATGGAGGCAGGAACCATGAAATTCAAAATTTTTGCCCCCTTTACCCATAGATGCTATATGCCAAATTTGGTTGAAATTGGTACAGTGGTTTCAGAGAAGAAGCTGAAAATGTTCAAATGTTGACGGACGACGCACGACGCCGGACGAAAACGGATAGCAATAGGTCACCTGAGTTTACTCAGGTGATCTTAAAATGTTATAGCAATTGATTTAATTGATTTTTAAAATGATATTTCAACTGATAGGTAGATTAACATCGTAATAATGCATTTTTAACGTTATGATAATCTAAAGCTCTCAAAGAAATTGTCAAAAAGTTTTTAAAAGAAAAATAATAAGTATTAAATTTAAGATCTTGAAATTTAAAACATAGAAATTTGAGAAAATCTCGGTCAATTATATCTATTATATCTTGAAATTATTATAATTCCTTTTTTTTTTTTTTTTTTGATTTGGTATAGATTCCTCTTCTGTCGAATTTTTGAATTACTCCATAAACAGTGGAATTTTATTAATTTGACATTTTGAAATGTTCTCCCAATAAAACTTTTTTTTTGTTTCTTATATATATAATGTAAAATATAGTAATACTCAACATATATTATAATTTGATATAAAAAAAAATCTATTGTAGTATTTGTAAAATTTGGCATGTTCTTTGAAGTCAATGTAAGTTACCTACGTGTATTGATTTATAAATTTGATACTTCAAGATTCCATTAAAATAAAATATGAGCATATACACGTATGTTACATATTGTTAATATTAATTTTAAGATTCAGTTCTGAGTTGTTCAATTTTTACTCTCACTGAATATTGGATAATTCTGAGATATGACGTCATCATAAGATGGCGGTGGAGCCGTGAGGTCCGAAGGTTGTGTATTGTTAAAGTCATTTGCTTCTCTGCCTGATTCCTGAATAAACGGAGGAGGTGCATTTGTATACCCGCGAACAGGTGTCTGTGGAGGTACATTTGTATACCCGCTAACAGGTGTCTGTTCTGGAGATGACTGTCGTAAAACTTCTCTGTCGGAGTTAGATGAAATCGAGGACAGTGAACCACCTGCCGGCGGTGCTTGTCGGACTACAACCGTACCATTACCTACGAATAAGAAAATATATATGAGATTCTTTATTGTGGACATTGAACTTTGGTCTTTTTTTTTGGGGGGGGGGGGGGGGGGGGGGGGGGGGGGGAATGTGTAAACAAAAAAAAACGAAACAATTTACTTGTGCTCGTACTTGGCTTTTTATGATCGATTTTGAAATAAAGAAACCTACAGACAATACAAATCTATGAACAAGGCCTAAACACGGATCTCTGATAGTTCAAGAGGAGAGACCATGGTGTCTATGAGAATAAAGTTTCACTTTAATACATTCCAAATCGCTACCAAAGCTAGGCGGACTCTGACAGTTAAGTGTATTCTACACGGATTTCAAAAACATTGTTTAAACCTACATAAAAGATCCTATGCATGTTTAATCTGACTATAGATTACATCGTCTTCGTCAATACATGGTGTTAATGCCGGTCTAAGAGAGGTTGTCACATAGGCATCCGATCTCACCTGTGAAATATCCATGAGTCCAAATTTTATGCCTGTTCATAAATTTCCACTGTTTAATAGAATCCCGAGATCAACAACTGCTCCTTAGTTTCAGTTTTTCATACTTGTGTCTGGTGGAGCTGTTGAATATGCTGAGAATATCCAAAGCAGCTACTTATTTTGTTAATCAACAGTCTAAAACCCCCAAACCATTTGTTCTTCGGATGAAACCTTAGAACTGAGGCCTCGTGTCACGATAGGCGTTGGCACGAAAAGATCCCTATACTCGGCACTTACGGCCATTCAGTATTGAGGAATTCTTTTCGTGCCAGCATCCCCTGCAGCACGATACCTCGGTGTGTCTCATCTAGGATCGATTTCCACGCCCCACAGTGGGATTCAAACCCGCCACATAACGAACAACTCCATACTCCGCGACTCTCTAGTGCAGATGCTCTAACCACTGCGCCACGCGGGCGACTCTTTCCTAATAGAAGTAATTTCACAAGAGTAGATCTACATTGTAAATAGACATTTTATTTTTGAAGACGATTAATCAAACTTACTTGAAGAATAAGCAACAATAGGCTGAACTTCTCTGATGGACATTGGAGTCTCGTCATTTTGGTTTTGCTTGCAGCAAGATATACAGCATGCTAAGCAAAATGTTAAACCGACTACCAGCGCAATCGCTATTCCAAAAGTTCCACCAAATGACCTGTGAAAAAATATTCTTTTAATTGTTTTTTTTCTCCAAATTAAAATACCAAAAAATTATATGTAAATGATGAGGTACATGTATTATCACTGTGAAAAATAAATTATAAAGTAATTTTTTTCTCATCTAGGGAAACATATAATTTATTACCTATTAAAAATTGCTTAAAATGTAAAAACAGAAGAAAAAAAAACTATATGTAAGAGCCATCTTTGAAATTTTTTTTGTATAACGAATTGGCATTTTAACAATACTGTGGCAAGGATACAAAAATGGCTTCAAATCAGATCAATTCTTTGTGAAGTTTTGTTACATTATAAGGACACAGTTAGTTTCTTTATTTTCTTCTTTCATTTCCTGTCAGACATTAAAATATGCATGATTTAGATTGTGTAACTTGTAATAACAGAAGATCATCTACTTAGAAATAGAATAACCCCCCCCCCCTTAACTTACAGTGTATATTTACAGCCTTACATTTCATAACTGCCCTGTGTGTTCCCGTTATCATAGCTGCTATAGTATTCATAGTAATTTCTGTAGGATTTGTTCTCACAACATCCGCTTCCACAACAATATTGTTCAGTGTAACAGTAAATCGTGGACATTTTACTTTTGTATAGACAACCGTAGAAAGAGGAATTTTTGGTTTTTTCTAGCATGCGGATCCAGTCCACGGATTTCTTATAACTGATACAAACGTCGGCATATACGGGCGCTAAAAAAGAAAAACAATTATGATATAATTAATGTTAACATATTATAAAATACTGTTTTAATAAATTCAGGAATATAGAAAATATTGAGAGTCCGGCTGTCCCTCCCCCTCCTTTTGGAATGTAGTCAAATAAGGGTAAAATAAAGATAATGTGTTTGAGTGAAAATTTTGGTACTGAAAGACGTGGACCTTTGAGTAGCTCTTGCTTGTTATAACCATGTCAACAGGTTGTCAAGGAATGAAGAAACATAAGATGAAATATTCAAATTTCTTGACATTTGCAGTTTTTATTTCACTGAAATCCTATATTCGCAATATACTAAAACTAGAGGTACTGTGAGCCCCCCCCCCCCCCCGGTTATAACTGAAAAAGTCATGTTTTCCTGTGGCAGTTTTTATTTCACAGAAATCCTATTTCAATCAGTGGTATGAGAGGAGTTGCGCAATATACTAAAATAATACTGAAATTAGAAATTAGTTCAAGCCTTTCAAGAAAGAAACAGAAAATATTTGAACATTTTCGACTGACGAAACCACTCATCACATGGCAATGGTGAGAAAAAAAATACACAGTAGATAGAAATGGGTCAGTTTATTGACTTAGACTATAATTTTCTAAAACGATCATATCTGATTACTCATGTTACTTCACCAAAAAAAACCTATATGGTATACCTAATGGTAATACAATTATCGCCGAAAGAATATAACCAATCATATCCAGGAAAATCTCTCCATTGTGGCGAGTCAAAGCTTCCATAATTTGACCTGATACACAAACAACGTTAACCGCTCGATCACTGAATCCCTCTTCTTATGCTAAAATATTCCATTAAAACTTGAACCTTTTCTTCCTTCACAAAAATCTTAATCACTCTGTCACGTTTTTGTTGCCAGTGATTACCAATAGTTTTAATCACTTCAGCTTTTGTAATATAAGACAAACCCATTGATCGCTGCATTTGGAAAAAAAAATATTCACAGAAGTAAGGAAGCTTGAAGCCGGAATTCTAAATATATGAAAATTCTGAAGCAGTACAGTACATTACGTTTTTTTATTTCAGAAAAAACGGCATACATGTTTATGTACCTAATATATTACACAACATGCTGCTATTGTAATGTGCAACGCGACTGAGCTTGGTGTTTGGTGATATGTCTTGTATCACCGAGGCGTTACACTTAGGTTCGTTAACCTGTTAACTCATGATCAGCTTTTTGTTGACCAAGTCCAATATATACAATTATATACAAATATAAACGGTTTCTTCTTGATTGGACAACCACTTACTGTGGTCAACGGGTGTCTCCCACAATGAATTTCACTAGTCCTGCCACTCCACTAGTACTGCTGCATCTTGGCACTTCCCCCACCTCTAATTGTGGTATGCCACCTCTCTCTACAACCAAGTGACTGCCTTATTCAGGTCTTACGTGCTTTGGTGCACTGTGAAACACTTAGCTGTTGAAATTACAATTCTATAGCTGTAACAGTATTCAGTCTAGATACGAAACAGTTTTAAGAGGGCTGGGGAGTTGTGGTCATTCTTAGACTATATTGGTCTCTTTTAGAAGAAGAGCTCCATATGAAGATACACAAAAATGGTCAAATTTTATAACCCCATTTATTAATTTTTCTTTGCCAAATGATAGTTGACAGCTTAAGATATCATATATATAAAAAAAATGAAGTTCTATGTACTTTTGTTTTTAATAAATTTATATTTGATAAGCTTTCATAACTTGCCATAAAAAGAAATTAATAAGCAATCGACATTTATCATGTGCCTGTTACAGGATGTTTGCCATCTAAATGTCAAAATACAAGAAAAACCAGATTTCCAAATGACGCATCTGTTGCAGTCAGCCTGAAACATCTAGTCTAACCGTCTGGGGTCGTTTTTACGGTACATATTGTGGTGTTTTAAATATTGTGGTTTTTACATTTTGTGGTGTTTTACGTATTGTCGTGTTTTACATATTGTGGTGTTTTACATATTGTGGTATTTTACATATTGTCGTAAGCGACAATATATATACTGTACCTACCCTCACTGCACTTTCGTCCATCAGTACATATTGTTACATATTATGTTCCTTACCCTCATTGTACAAATGCCCCCCCCCCCCCCCCCCCGTAAGTATTGCTGCTCTTTGATTTCATTTCCTACGAAAAGTTACGTCTAAGTCGTCTTTTTGGCTCACCTGAGCTGAAAGCTCAAGTGAGCTTTTCTGATCATCCGTTGTCCGTCATCCGTCCGTCTGTAAACTTTTCACATTTTCAACTTCTCAAGAACCACTTGGTCAATTTTAACCAAACTTATAGTACAAAGCATCCTTGGGGGAAAAGGAGTTTAAATTGTTAAAATAAAGGTCCTTGTCTCCCTACAAAGTGATGTAATTAAGGTAAGACAAAAATAGGGTGGGGTCATTAAAAAATCTTCTTTTTAAGAACTACTGGGCCAGACAAGCTGAAATTTATTTGGATCCATCCTGAAGTAGTGTAGATTCTAAATATTTAAGATCATGACCCCGCATATTAAAATATATAGGAAAAATTTTTAATAATCTTCTTTTTAAGAATCACTGGGCCAGAAAAGCTGAAACTTATGTGGGAGCATCCTTGGGTAGTGTAGGTTTTAAACATCTAAATCATGACCCCCGGGGTAGGATGGGCCACAATAGGGAATCGAAGTTTCGCATTGAAATATATAGGAGAAAACTTTAAAAAGCTTCTTCTTAAGAACCACTGGGCCAGAAAAGCTTAAACTTATGTGGAAGCATCCTTAGATAGTGTAGATTGTAAATTGTTTAATTCATGACCCCCGGGGGTAGGGCTGGGCCACAATGGGGAATCAAAGTTTTACATAGAAATGTATAGAAAAAATCTTTCAAAGTCTTCTCTTCAAGAACCACTGGGCCAGAAAAGCTGAAACTTATGTGGAAGCATTCTGGGATAGTGCAGATTTTAAATTCTCAAAATTATTATCCCAGCGGGTAGGGTGAGATCACAATATATAGGTATTACAAAGGGGAAATCTGGTAGAGAATAGCATGGCGAAAGTTACTCAGGTGCGTGATGTGGCCCATGGGCCTCTTGTTTTTTAACTGAGCAAAAACAAGAGGTACTGGTGATCATTACCTTGCTATGCAGACATTTGACCCCCCCCCCTCTTCGACGGAGTTGACTTTAACAAACTAGCTGAGGATGCTTACGTTATATAACTTATCATGGTTTTCGATTTCTTGAGATTTTTCTGTTTAATTACAATGGTCAAAATTGATTACCCATAGTGTTCCCATCATACTAACAAAGGTTATGATTTGGTCTTATTTCAAACTACACAACCTGATGATGCATCCATACAAAACAAAGTCATGACTGCTATTCTCGGGAAGATTATGATAGATATATCAAATGCATCCCCATGCAAAATTGAATGATCACCCATTGTTCCCCTCTATTTTCCCAGCTGATAGGCATCATTTGAACAAACTTGAATGTACAAAACCTGTCGTGAGGATGTCCCCAAATAAATATGACCAATCCTGACTTTGCTGTTCTTGAGAGGAGGTTTTTAAAATACTTTTTCCATGTTTTCATTTTTTTATATTCTGATCACCCCCCCCCCTTTTGTGCTAGTTGAACAAAGTTGATTCTGTATTACCTGAGGATATTTTCCTGTCAATAAGACCAGTTATGCCTTTGCAGTGCTTAGGAAGAATATATTCATATTTTTATGGGCCCGAATTTTTTCGGGGCGCATATTGTTTTTGTCCTGTCTGTCTGTCTGTTTGTCTATTTGTCTGATTGTCTGTCTGTTGTCAACTTTAACCTTCACCATAACTTTTGAACCGTGAAGGATAGAGACTTCATATTTGGTATGCATACTCCACTTATGAAGCACTTTCAATGACTTTTTGAGCTTGACTGTGACCTTTATGCTAAAAATAGCTTTTTCGAACGTTCGCCATAACTTTTGATCCGTGAGAGATAGAGACTTCATATTTGTAATGCGTACTCCACTAATTAACACTTTTAACTGACACCAAGGACAATGACCTTAACTCTGACCTATTAGCTAAAAATAGATTTTTCGAACTTTGGCTATAACTTTTCAACCATTGGAGGTAGAGACTTTATATTTGGAATGCATACTTCAATAATTACGTGCTTTCAAACGACACCAAGGTCAATGACCTTGACTGTAATCTATATGCTAAAAATAGCTTGTTCGAACTTTGTTGCCGTCGGGCGAATAGTGTTTCACAAACACATCTTGTTTCCCTATGTAAAACTTTCATTTACCATTAAGCCCACCCTGGGTTCATGAATAGAACAAACATAAATCTACACTCTGTCACAAGAAGCTTTCAAATAACTTTATTCTTTTCTGGCCAAGTGCTTCTTGAGATGATTTTTAAATTAACCAGTTCATTTTTTATGCCCCCAAAAACGAAGTTTCGGGGTATATACATAGTTTTTGTCGTGTCCGTCCGTCTGTCTGTCAGTCTGTCTCTTTGTCTGTTAGTCCGCAAAAACTTTAACCTTGCCCATAACTTTTGATTTAGTGGAGCTATGACTTTCATATTTCACATGTGTATTCCTTGTGACAAGATCTTTCTTTGGGTACCACCAAATTTGACCTTTTGACCTGGCGTTTGACCCACTTTTACACAAAATTTCCAAACTTTTTCTTTGACCACATCTTCTGAACAGTAGATACCAGGACTTATATACTTCATACATGTATTCTTTGTAGCAAGACATTTCATTGAGTACCAACAACTTTGGCCTTTTGACCTTGTTCTTGTAGATTTCCGTACTAAAGAAAAAACTTTAACCTTGGCCATAAGTTTTGAACGGTAGGGATTAGAGTTTTCATACTTCACATCTGAAATTCTTGTGAGGAAGACGTTTCATTGAATACCAAGAACTTTGACCTCGACCTGTGGGTTTGACCTACTTTTCAAATACAACCTTAAACATATTTTTGGAGGGTTAGAACTAGGGCTTTCATACTTCACATATTTAATCCTTGTGACAAGACCTTTCATTTGATATCAATAACCTTGCTCCTTTGACCTTGGAGTTTGATATTTTTACACAAAAAATCCAAACTTTACTTTGGCCCCAATTTTTACTAGTAAACAGTAGATGCTAGAAATTTCTTATTTCAAATATCAATTCTTTGTGGCAAGACCTTTCATTTGAAACCAACATATTTGGACCTTTTGACCTTGACCTTGGACATTTCCGCACTTACGAAAAACTTTACCTTTGGCCTTAACTTTTGAACGATAAGGTATGGGGCTTTCATACCTCACATATGTAATCCTTGTGAGAAGACCTTTCATTGAATATCAACAACTTTGACTCTTTGACCTTGACCTTGGATTTTGACCCTCTTTTTACAAACTTAAACCTTGACCATAACTTTCGAACAGTAAGAGCTAGGGCTTTTATTCCTTTACATATGTAATCTTTGTGACAAGACCTTTCATTGTTGACCCTTTGACCTTGACCTTTGGAGTTTTAACTCCTTTTACAAACTTTAACCTTGATCATAACTTTCGAACAGTAAGAGCTAGGGCTTTCATACTTCACGTTATGTAATCTTTGTGACAAGACCTTTCATTGAATACCAACAACTTTGACCCTTAGACCTTGACCTTTGAAGTTTTAACTCCTTTTTACAAACTTAAACCTTGGCTTTTGAATGGTAAGGGCCAGCACTTTCATACTTCCCATATGTGATCTTTGAGACAAGGTCTTTCTTTAGAAACCACCTTGGCCCTTTGACCCTTGACCCCGGAGTTTGTCCTACCTTTAAAAACGTTAACCTTTGTCATAACCTTTAAAAGATGGTGCTATGGTTTTAAATTTCACATTTGTATTTCTTGTGAAAAGTCCTTACTTTAGGTACCAACATAAATTATTATTTGATCTGCATTTAAGAAAGCTTTATCTCGTTATGTTGCCATAT